ACATTTTCGCGCCATAATTTATTACAACCTTCAGAGACAATTATCGCAACAAGAATGCCTCGCTGAGTTACTGTCTGTTTTCGGCAACGAAGTGCCACATCAGTCGACAATTTCCCGTTGGTATGGAGAATTCAAACGTGGACGGGTGAGTCTTAGCGGCGATCCCAGGGTGGGTGCACCAAAAACGGCAGTCACCCAGTACAACGTCGATGCTGTACGCAAACTTACCATTGAAGATAGACATGTGACATATCGCGAGATTGAGGCGTCCTTTAAGATCTCAAAGACCTCAATTCAAAAAATTTTACATAGAGAATTAGGAGTAAGAAAATTAGTTTCTCGTTAGATACCCCACCTGTTGACTGAAGAGCAGAAAGCAGCCAGGGTTAATTGGTGTCAAAAAACGCTTTACCGTTACAATTCCGGAAACTCAAAAAATGTGTACAGCATTGTTAGTGGTGATGAATCGTGGATTTACTGTTATGAACCAGAAAATAAACGACAGTCGGCTGTTTGGGTGTTCCAAGGTGAAGAAAAGCCAACAAAAGGCATCCGTTCTCGAAGTGTTTCGAAAAAGATGGTCGCGACATTTGTGTCAAAAGCGGGTCATATTACAACAATTGCTTTTAATGAGCAAAGAACTGTTACTGCGGATTGGTATACCACCATTTGTTTGCCAAAAGTAATCACCGAGCTTCGAAAAATCAACCCCGAAAGAAGAATCATCCTCCACCAAGACAATGCAAGCTCACACACAGCCCAAAAAACAAGACAGTATTTAACGGAAGAAAACATGGAATTATTGGACCATCCTCCATATAGTCCCGATCTAAGTCCTAACGATTTCTTTACTTTCCCGAAAATTAAAAACAGACTGTGTGGTCAAAGGTTCCAGCCACCAGAAGAAGCAGTTAACGCATTCAAAAAAAATTGGTTCGAGCGCATGCAGATGTGTCTTAATCTTCGTGGAGAATACTTCGAAAAACAATAAAGTCATTTAAAACTACCTACCCTGTTGTTTTATTTCCATATGCAAAACTTAAAAGACTACTACTTACTATTCACACGCGTGTCTGAAAAGAAGGGGACAGCTTGGAATTGGTCTAAATATCAGAGGGCCCTTAGCTGAAAGAGTCCCTAAAGGACAGACACGACAAGCTTAAAAGAAGTATGCTGCTTGAATAGCTATATACTGTAAAGAGTATCAGTTTCAGAGAGAATAAATAGCCAATCACTTATTTCGAGGGCAGTTGTAGCAGTATAGAAGAAAAAAATCTATAGGTTACCATTACTAAAATTGAATAAATTGAACTTGACAAAGAGATGTACCCACTCAGTGGTGCGATCGAGTCCTCCAGGAAAAAATTGAAGATTATCCAAGGAAGTGTTTCTATCAGTTTGGTCCTGACGCTATTATCTATGTTTCCTGGTGATAAGTATATGGATGAAATAAGAAGTATCGGTAATAAAGTCATAGTCAGCAAGTATCATTAGAACAGGCTGAGCATCAGTAATAATGCGGAAAAGGCCTAGTAATAACTATGTGCGAAATAGTAACAGTGTGAGAAAGAATAAGGTATGATTGTGGGTGACGAGTTAGCGAAATATTGTGTTCAAAGTTTATACGCATCCATGAACGTCTCTGAGAATACCTTACAAGGTATAGTAAAACCCAACATAGAAATAAGTGAATTGGTGAAAAATGTATTTAACATCATTATATTCCTTGGAAAAGGCTATTTGTTAATCACTCGTTTTAAAATTAATCACAAGATAATGACTACACTCTTGCCTAATTTACTGCTTATTGGGAAAGTCACGAATGTATCAGTTCTGTAGTTTCAAGGAAAGGGCCATAGCACATTAAAAATATCTAAACTACTCCGCTCTCAGAAACTGTTTTCTTTGCAAAAACTAAGTGATAACATTTCAACAAAGGTAAACAAAAACAAAGATAAAACGTTGACATTATATATATATATATATATATATACAGGGTGACTTTGAAGTTGAGTCATTAATTTTCAGATAATGATTGTAGAAGGAAGATAAACCAAAATATGTGTGTAAAAATAAAAAAAAATAAAAAAAAATGTTACCTTGTTTTATAAAGTATCCTCCCGACAATTATTTCAGTGCGGACCTGTATTTGATCGTGCGGTCTTGAAGCACCGGCATGCCGTCCCCTGTGAGGTCTTAAGTCACCTGATTCACGAGCCCGTTGTACTACATTAACAAAGGCACGAGGGGTTGGTGGCACTCGATTGGGAAACCGATCCGTATAAACATGTGTCATTTTTTATTTCGTTTGAGTCACGGAACAGACACCACTATTCACTCACGCGTTACCGACTGACACTGACTGTATACAACTGAATAAAATAATTGTAAAAACATCGTTCCAAATTCTTTCGCTTTTCCGATGCGATGAACCGATAAGGCGGATTACATCCGTTGTTGCCAGACACGAGCACATAATATTATTATTGAGACCGGACGGTATTCAAACTTCCAAAGGGCTATAACTTTATATATACTTTAATTTTACCAGAAAAATAGTAAAGGAAAAAAACATTTCTTTTGATCAGATCTACTCACTGTTAAAATAAATGACTGAACTTCGAAGTCGAATATATATAGGCGAAAAATAAAGCTTCCGCCTTTTGACGGGTACTTCGACAAAAATCAAGAAAAGAGGACTCTTTATACTTTATTAATCTCTAGATTTAAATGGGCTTTGCCATGTGCATGAGGAGCTGCAATAACATTGAGAAGAGATAGATAGCAACTATAGTGATTTTAAATTAAGTTACAGTCGTATGTGAGATTGTTGCTAAATGTTATTAACGTTTTGGTTGAGGGAAACAACCAGTAACCTGCTGAATGCTGGATACATGGTACATGCGTCAAAATTAATATAAACTACACACAGCTGTATCTCAGGAACAAATTGAAACGGATTAAAAATATTTCAAACAAAAGTTAAAAGATGGCGGCCACAGGATCACAAGTAGGATGAAACATTTGACAAGTGACAGAAAGTTGGTGGTGTCAGTGTCGATGGATGGAACGAAAATTTGTGAAGTGTGCACTATGTTGCCAAATTACTTCAGATGGTGTTATTTATCAAGATATGTTAAATAAGAACTTGTCAGCAGACCAGAGGCAGTTGAACAATTGAACAAACTGTATTGTTGATGAGATGGGCAATTGAATTAAACAAATATTATTTTATTATGAGAAAAAACCAATTATTCAAATTGAATGGAATGGAAAATTTGGAGGGAGAGGGTGGAATAGACCAAAACACAGACTCCATTTATGGTTGTGAAAAATCGAAATTTGGAGAGATATGTAAGTGCTCCAACTTTTCGCAGTTTAGCAAATATGAGTAAATGACGCTCAGTTGCTTAACATCTGTCTTCTTATTCATACAGTTGTCATTCATGAATATGTGGGATATTTCCAGGAATAAACGTTTTGGTAGGTGTTCTTCTTTATCAAGAACTTTGATACTTGTGTAGTGCATAGAGTGCCCTGTTGTATTGACATGAGATGCCAGAGCACATATCTCGGGATGAAGCCTAGAATTTCAGCATTTCAGTAGATGGCGACGTAATAGTTGTTTAATGCACATGTGTCCAATTCATTATGGAGCGCTACATAGTCCCACAACGCATCAGTATTGTTAGAACGGTTTATTTAAATATTGAGTTGATTGTTCCAACGATTCGGAAGCTACGACAAGATTTCGGTTGAAGTAATGTGCCTAGTGTCAACACCATTCGTCAGTTGGTGGACAAACAGGTGAAGTTAAAGATGTGCCAAGGTCGGGCCGTGTTCGAACTGTTCGAACTCCGGAAAATATCTAGAGAGTTCGTGAAAGTGTAGTGCAGCGCCCTGAGACGTCTACCAGACATCGTTCACAAGAACTCTATATTCTTTACACGTCATTATGCCCTATTTAAAAAAAAGACCGGCATTTGCGGCCATACAAAATTCAGTTAACCCAAGAACTACAGCCTAGTGACCATAACAGTCGCCGACAATGCAGTCATGCAATATTGTAGGTTAATACCCAAAATAAATACTGACAACTGAAAATGAGTTATGAAACCCACTTCGATATGAACCGATTTGTTAATAAGAAGATTGGATCTGGCCATTAGAGAACCCTCGTGCCATCCATCAACAACCACTACATCCTGGTAGAGTCACAGTTTGGAGCGGTGTTTGGTATGGAGGTGTCATTCTAGATAGCTGAAAAGAAGTCAATGTTGCCCGGCGATGGAGCAATTGTCTCTACTAGAACAATAAAATTTATTGAATATAAATAATCAGATGAGGAGACAACAAGACGGATATAATTATTCAGGTCTGAAATAAATAAAAGACGTTGATCTATTTTCTGCGAATATGACGATATCTTGTGGAATGAAGAATCTCTCTCAAGCAAATAATACCAGGGCGTACGAAAGTTGTCCTCGATTATTTAAAAAAATCATCTCACCATGCCTTTTCTCCGATCATATTCATTATACAGAAAAATCTATATACAAGAGATAGAGGCACCACGTTGCCTAGCAGTTCGAGTGACGCACGGACGCAGCAGCGGCTAGCCACATTGCCATCGGCGCACTCTTTCTAACATACGTATTGCACACTTCACGCGCCTCTCTCTCGTACACATTACGGCGTCAAAGATATTTGTATTTCTCTGTATGCTTTCTACAGCTGACCAATAGTAAAGCTGGCACAATGTAAGACACACAATTCAGATACGTATTCAAGATCCATTATTTTAGTTTCTATCCAACAATCAATGTTTTTTTACTGATAGTCATTCTACTTTATGGTCCTACGCCAGGGTACGAGGATTTTCAGAGCCGGAAAGCAATAAAAACACAGTGCGCAAAAAAGTTGACGCAGATACGAAGCATGATGCATAAACAATTCCCATTTGTCCAGAATTGCATGGGAGGTACAGAGAGATCCAACTTGACGCCATCATCAGTTTTATTTGTTTTCATCCAGTTAAACAGTAACTGCAATAAAAATTCATATTATACAATACTTCTATGTATATTAATAAATAGTCATAACGTTTTATTTACGAAACTATACAATAATAATTAATGTACCACGCGCCCAATTTCGTTGGCTTTATTATATCACAAAATGAGTGCAGAAGTTCCTCTAAATCAGTTTCTACAGGAGAGGCTTTCTGAACTCTGGTGCCAAGTTCTCTGCTATCTGCAGGCAGGACCACAGTCGTCCATCTACTACGTATGGAAGTACTTTAGCTACTTGAACCGAACCCTGGAAACAGAAATCATTATTTATATTAATGAGTGAAACAGTTGTGGTCGCTTACATCCCACACCAAATCTCGAAACATTTCGTAAAAATGATATTATGTTTTAGATTGTCTGTCTGTTTGTCGTTCATCTATCTGATAATTCTTGGTTCCTCTATAAATACCATACAAGCACGTATCTTGAAAAGTGATGTTATATCAATTTTTTTGATATTAAATTGTTTTTTTACATTATGCAGCCTTTTCTACAAGATATTAACTTAGCACTTAGTTGTACGTGTTGTCTAAACGTCAAGGGGCTTCAGTTATCAATGTTTGGCTCTGATGTAATGTAAAATATGCTTTAGAGATGGCATTACTGGAAGTCTAAGCTTTAAGTTGTATGTGTTAATGATAATTCCATTGGATTCTTGTTGCAAATACACTTGATTGAGATTCAAAGTTAGAAATTAGTTTCGCGACCACTTTTTCTTATTCATTCTGGAAATTACATATGCAAATTTGCAGAGTTTCAAAAAAGAGAGATATAAGAAACAATTATATTCACTGTAGACTGTCGAATTAAAAGCCATAAACATGCTAACAGTAATTACACACAACGCGGGCGCGGTGATGATTTCCCGTAATTCTCCTCAATTTTTTTCGTACTTTATAACTTTGAACATAACCTGTCTTCAGAAGGGACCACATATAAATAACCCGTCGGGTTACAGCTAATAGATATACTTCATTGGCAGCATATTCAGTAATGATTTTCTCACACAGCATATATCACTGATTTTATATACATGCAGACCAATACACATACTCATCCAGATGCGATCTTGCTATTCAACCAACTTTCTTCTCAAATATAAAAACTACAGACACAGACCACTCGGCCTCGCAAAAGATATGCAACCAACAATGCGTGTAGTTTAGTTGAGTGATTCCTCCATAGATGGACGTTCACAAGGATCCTAGTGAGCAAACGTGGAATGACTGTTTGCGCTCTAAAAACTACCTAGTCTGCAAGATGACATCTAATAGGTTTTTTGACACTTTATAGGTTTTTTTACATAATACCCGTGCAGTAAACAACCTAAAAACGTAAAAAACCGACGAAATGCCATCTTGCAGACTAGGTAGTTTAGTTCATTCCACGTTTGCCCGTTATAATCGCTGTTCGCTGACGTTTAAGCAACATGTAACGAGTTCACAGCAAGTGTTCAACAACTTATGCTAAGTTAACATCTTGTAGAAAAATGTACATTATGTCACAAAAAAAATACGAAATGACAAAAGAAAACGACGAAATGTCACTTTTCAAGATACTTGGCAGAAAACGCAATACTCGCTTCAAGATTTAAGATTCAAGATACAATATCCAGGATCGAAGATCTAAGATCCAAGATTAAAGATCCAAGCTCCAAGTCTAAGATCCAAGAGCTAAGTTCTAACTTCGAAGATACAAGATCGAAGATCCAAGATCGGAGATCCAATATACAAGATCGAAGATACGAGATCGAAGATCCAATATCCAAGATACGAAATCCGAGATCCAAGATCCAAGATCAAAGACCCAATATCAGATATCCAATATCCAAGATTCAAGATTCAGGATTGAGGATTCAAGATTTAAGATTTAGGATTCAAGATTCAAGATTCAAGACACAAGAGTCAAGATTGAAGATTCACGATTCAACATTCAAGATTCTATGCCATACTTATTCAAAGTTGAGTCATTCATTCTAACTGCTTGTAGGACTCACCAAATAAAGTTGATATACCAAAAATGACCTACATAAAAGTTGCATATTAAAAGAAATTGTAAAAGGTTAAGAATTTTAAAAAATAAGAGTTTTATTATGCAGATTTTTTTGATATTTCCCACCAATGCCCTGTAAAATCTTAGCGTTTTTTGTTTACTACTCTTATCGTTTATCTAAATTTGTAAAACTTTTCGTGTTATTATATGGTTTCCAATACGAGTCTTTGGTTCGATCAGTTGTATCAGTCTTTTAAATTGGACCATGTTCGCGAAAACAATGAGCTAGTGGACATAATACTAACATACGGAAAGTGACAAGAAAATTCAGCAGCAGCATGCAGGTTGTATGCAGAAAGGTTTCCTATAAGAAATCATCCGGCGCCCCACGTATGTGTGTAAATTGAGTCATTAGACATCGTGACACAGGATATTTAAAAAACGAGGAGGTCACGTTGGAAGACCTGCGCAACCTGAAGTGTTACAAATTGAGGAAGACATTCTAGAAATGGTCGAAAACGAACCAACAATCTGTACTAGAGCCATAGCAGCTCAAGTTGAAGTTTCTCATAGTAAAGTGTAGAAGACAATACGACAAGATCGGTATCATCCTTATTATTATCAACGGGTACAATCGTTACAACTTAGAATATTAGAACAGTTCGGCAGAAATGAAGATTTTAATATTATAATACCAAATTTCTAAGTTTTTTCTCGGTTCATAGTTAAAGCTAAGGCAGATAATAATACATAATAATGGTGTTCAGATGGAGGCGCAGAAGCGTTAGAAATAATTTTTGATGTCTGCTATTTCACGATTGACGTTATGGAAAATTATGGTCTTTATAGCATCCTACCAGCTGATCGATCTCATTACATTCCTTATAGGGTGTCCAAGTTTATTTCTTCTGGAACTGATTTAATTTTCTACACTTTTTTCCAATCAGAGCAATACAGGGACGTTTAACACATTCCAGTTAATCCGGTGAGTTTCGCAGTCGGTTGATTTTTTTATTTATATAACGGCAGACCCTAAAGATGTTTGTCACAAGGCAAGATGATTTATTTTGCTCTAAAGTCCTTTGAAAATATCCACTAAGAAACCAGTGGCGTGAAAATAAATGTTAAAATTCAATAGTACCGCCCCTGGGATGATTTAGTTGGATATAACAAATTCGGATTGAGCGCCAGAAGTTCGTCTAATTAAAAAATGGCATCAAGTAGGTTGATAAAGAATTAAATTGAGCGCAATTTAAATTCTCTAAGAAAAAAGTAGGTTACGAACTTGAACATTAAACGGACTAAATCATCAGACAGTCCCATAGACATTGTCCCTGCCTTACCGGTGGTTACTGTCTATCTGGCAACGTTGTTCCTTTCCACATCCACACGGCAGCGCCCACCGTGGCACCGCTGCAAGAAGTTCATTCATCCGTGTGAATGTTTTATGCAGTACGGATAGAATAGTCAGTTGGACCAGTACGCCGGGCGATGAGCTTAGATGGCAGGAGCACGCGGATCGGGAACATATATATATAGGTGAAAAATTAAAGCTTCCGCCTTTTGTTGGGTACTTCGACAAAAATTTAAGCAAAGAGGACTCTTTATACTTTTTTTATTCTCTCTAGCTTTCAATGGACTTTGCCATCATCACCAGGAGCTGCAATTACATTGATAACAGTAGCAACAATAATGTAAAATGAATTTAAATTGACTTAACTTACAGTAGTATGTGAGGATGTTGCTAATTGTTGTTTACGTCCAGGATGAGGGAAACACCCAGTAACATGGTGAAAGCTGGATAGATGGTACAATGGTCAAAATTATATAAAATAATGGTGGAATAAACCAAGAAACAGATTCCATTTATGGTTGTGAAGAGTCAAAATTTGGGGAGATATGTAAGTGCTCCAATTTTTCGCCAATAAACTTCATTCCACTCAAATTCTAATAATTTTCTCCTCACGATTTAATAATAATTGTTAATTTAATTGTCCATTAATTAAAATACAGTTAATTCAACCGCCTCTGGTCGGTTTAACACATTCTGAAAATCACATCGTATGAAGTGATTTGGCAACGTAGCACACGCCCACAATTCGTTCCATCTTTCTACACAGACATTGACAACCTTCGGCTTTCTGTCAAAGGTTTCATCTCACTCATTATTCCATGTCCACCATTTTGTGCAATCATCGAGGGGCTTCACGATGTAATGCTTTCATGTTCTAAAAAAATTTTTTATCTGTTTTTAACTTGTTCTTGTCACACAGTTGTGTGTATTTTATAAAATTTTGACCATTGTACCATCTATCCAGCTTTCAGCATGTTACTGGGTGTTTTCCTCATCCTGAACGTAAACAACAATTAGCAACATCCTCACATACTACTGTAAGTTAAGTCAATTTAAATTCATTTTACATTATTGTTGCTACTGTTATCAATGTAATTGCAGCTCCTGATTATGATGGCAAAGTCCATTGAAAGCTAGAGAGAATAAAAAAAGTATAAAGAGTCCTCTTTGCTTAAATTTTTGTCGAAGTACCCAACAAAAGGCGGAAGCTTTAATTTTTCAGCTAACTGGTCTAGACGACAATGACCACGTCTCAAGTTATATATATATATATATATATATATACAGGGTGACTTTGAAGTTGAGTCATTAATTTTCAGATAATGATTGTAGAAGGAAGATAAACCAAAATATGTGTGTAAAAATAAAAAAAAAATTAAAAAAAATGTTACCTTGTTTAATAAAGTATCCTCCCGACAAGTATTTCAGTGCGGACCTGTATTTGATCGTGCGCTCTTGGAGCAGCATGCCCTCACCTGTGAGGTCTTAAGTCACCTGATTCACGAGCCCTTTGCACTACATTAACAAAGGCACGAGGGGTTGGTTGCACTCGATTGGGAAACCGATTCGCATAAATCCGTGATGCATCCGGGAGCATTTTGTAAAGACTGCCCCCCGTAAATAAGAATCATGTCCACAAGTTCAGCATTTTCGTAAACATGTGCCATTTTTGATTTCGTTTGAGCCACGCAACACACTACTATTCACTCAGGATTTATCGACTGACGAAAAACATCGTGATAAACGTTTCAAATTCTTTCGCTTTTTTGTTTCCGATGCGATGAACCGGTCAGGCGGATTATATCCGTTGTCGCCAAACACGAGCATATAATAGGCAGGGCGGTACTCAAACTTCCAAAGGGCTATAACTTTGTTACTTTAATTTTACCAGAAAAATGGTAAAGGAAAAAAACATTTCTTTTGATCAGATCTACTCACTGTTAAAATAAATGACTCAACTTCGAAGTCACCCTGTATATATCATTTTAGGTTTTAAAGACAAATATACGAGGAAATATATGATGTGAAATATAGCTACACCTTCCCCCACCCCCCACAATCCCCAACTTCCGAATTTCATCAGCAACAAATTTTTTTCTGAAAATGATCAGGAGCCTCTGAAACGTCGAATAACGGAATCTGAACGATTTTTTTTTTCAGATTTTCACACTTATCTCCATTTTCAAAGGCTACAAAGCTTTTTCATCCTTGGCATAGTAGTAGTGACCTTGGATGGAAGTTTCATCCAAATCCGAGCGGAACTTTCCAGGTTATAGGTGACCCAAGAATTAGCGGACCAACAGACCGACTGACAGACAGATCAACAGACGGAAATAAGAGACTTGGGCTTTGGTGATATACCTAATTGTCATATAAAATCCAAAAACCCTAAGCGGAGTAGGAAGTAAAACCAATAGAAAATATCAATATTATAAGAATTGAACGCCCTGTATCTCAGTTAGGATGCCGTTAAATACATATAAACTGTTTTGTTCAGTTTAGTGAGCGTGAATAATCGTATACATACAGGGTGTGCCAAAAGTTCCTGACTGATTTTAAAAATTCATAAGTTTTTCCCGAGTTAACATATTTGATTTTTTCTCAGATTTACAAAGTAGAGCTCTGGATATTTTAGAATGGAGAGACTTAATCTAATCCAGAGAACCAAAGTCGTACAATTTTACTATGAACATAATCATTCGATTGTAGACACCAAGAGAACTTGGTTCTGTATCGGACCTTCCCTGAACTGGAAGACCACATTTAGCTTTCACTGGAGAAAACATAAAGAGAGTAGTGAAAGTGTTCAGGAGGACCCCGAAACATCGACCAGAAGAAGGTCAACTCAGGACATCCCTCAGAAGAATTTTGAAACATTTGCGGATGTTTCCTTATAAAATTCAAATAATAATAATAATAATAATAATAATATTTATTTACTCTAAAATACAGGGAACATGAAACGAGTAAATAAATATAATATATCCATAGGAGGACAACGCCTGTGCATGGATCATATGTATGTTGAATTGCAAAATATAATAAAATAGAGAGAACAAAGAAATTATTGGTAAGAATGGTAGAGCATTTATTGTGTAATACTTGAGATTATTTTATTAATTTGATTTCTCCCAATCGTGTTAATAAATTTTTTTAATTTTTTTTTGAAGCCTAATGTATTGCGTAATTGTTTTAAATTATTTGGTAAATGTTCGTACAATTTTGGAGCTATATACAGGTGACATCGTTTCATTAGGGATTTGTTTGGTTTAGGAACATTTTTTGCGCGTAATTTATATCTGGTTTTATGATTATGTTTAATTATGTCGTGTTCACTAATAGTTTTGTGATAATGAGTGATGGTATGTAAGAAGTAAAGTTGTTTAGTATCATATACTTGTGCATCATTATATAAGTCATTAGTTGGGTATAATTTTGATTTGCCTAACATTGATTTTAAAATTCTTCTTTGAAGTACATCTAAATCGTTAAAGTATGTCGTGCATGCAGCACCCCACACTACTATACCATATTTTATGTGTGGCTCGATTAAAGCTTGATATATTATTCGTAGATAATATTCAGTTAATATACCGGTTAGAAATTTTATTTTATATGCTATGAATCTAATTTTCTTTAGTATGTGAGAAATATGTACATCCCATCTCAAGTGGGGATCTAGATAAATTCCTAAATATTTTGTATCATTAACTCTATTGATTTTTATATTTTTATCATTTACCTTAAACCGAAGGTGGTTATATTTTGGTAGATGATTAGATAGTGATGAAAATGGTAAAAAATGAGTTTTAGTAAAGTTAATTGTTAATTTCCGGTTATTAAACCACTGAATAATTTTGCAAAAGTCATTTTGGATAATATCTTTTAAGTCGTTCCAATCCTTACCTTTATAGAGTATAGCAGTATCGTCTGCAAAACTGACTATTTTACCAGTACTGTTAATTTTGAATATATCGTTTAAATAAATATTGAATAACAGAGGACCCAAAATTGTACCTTGTGGAACACCACATTTAACAAACATTTCTTTACTATACGAGCTTAATAATTTTACTGATTGCGGTCTATTTGATAAATAATTTTCCATTAAAGTATACATCTTTCCACGAAAACCTATTCTTTCTAAGATTTTCAAAAGTATATTGTGGTTAACTGTGTCAAACGCTTTTTGTAAGTCCACAAATACGCATATCGATGGTACTTTTCCATCTATATTTTGGGTTATTTCATCTACTATACTTAATACCCCATCTGTTGTAGATTTGCCCGCTATAAAACCATATTGATTTGAATTTAGAATTTTGAATTTATTAAGAAAATTAATCATTTTATTAAGGAGTAATTTCTCAAAAACTTTAGCTAAACTTGATATAAGTGAAATAGGTCGATAGTTAGTGACGTCCGTATTATCATTAGATTTATAGATAGGTATGATGATTGCTGTCTTGAAAGCTGATGGAAATACTCCAGATTGGAAGGATTTGTTAATGATATAAGCAAGTGGTTCTGTTATTTGTTTGGCCAGTATCTTTAGATGTTCAGCTCTAATTTCGTCAACTCCAGGGCTTTTTTTATTTTTTAGAGTCATAATGGCATTGAAAACATCCTGATAGTCTACTTCAGTTAATACAAATGAATTATTCAGTCTTGTTTCATGCAGATGAATATCAGCATTTTGTTTGATATTATTTGCTAAGTTTCCTCCTATATTCGTGAAAAATTCTATGAACTCATCACATATTTGCTGAATATTGTCTGTTTTCTGTCCTGTTTTTGTTTTTATTTCATTAATATTGTTTTTTGAATAGGATGACTTATTGAATATATCATTGACAGTGGACCATAGGTGTCTAGAGTCATGTGAATTATTATTCAATTGTTTTATATAGTAATTTTTTTTTGCTTTTCTCAAAAGTTCTATAAATTTGTTTTTATACTGATTATAATGATCTATATTTTCTTTCGTGGGTAAATATTTCATGATTTTATACAGTTTTTCTTTTTCGTTTGCAGATTTTATTAGTCCTTTGGTCATCAGCACTTACGACCACAAGATTATGCACAATGAATAAATTATGCCATTCGTTTTGAGCAATTGGTTAGAGAGGAAGAAATTTTTTTAAATCGTCTAATGAGTGATGAGGCGCATTTTTATCTGAATGGTTTTGTGAATACGCAAAATGCAAGAATTTGGGGAAGGCAAAATCCAAGGGCTGTACACGAGAGAGAGAGTTACACCCCATTAAATGTACCGTTTGATCTGGTGTTACCACCCGGGGTATTATTGGGCCTTATTTCTTTCAAAATGACGATGGAACTGCGGTGACAGTTACTTGCGAGAGGTATAGAGCTATGCTTGAAATTTTTTTGATTCCAGCACTTGAAAATAGACCTGATATGTGGTTCTAACAAGATGGAGCCACAGCTCATACAGCTGGAACCACAATGGCATTGCTAAGAAGCGTCTTTGGAGAACGTCTGATTTCAAAAAGATCGGCAATTGAATATCCCCCACGTTCCCCTGATTTAACCGCGCCAGATTCTTATCTATGGGGATATTTGAAAGAAAGAGTTTACCGCAATAAACCTCGAACCTTAAGACAACTTATGGACAATATCATAATGGAAATTCGAGCCATAAATCGGGAAACATTGGAGGCAGTTATGGCCAATGTCTTGGAAAGGAATGTTGCGTGTGAAAGAGAAAATCGTCGTCACTTACGCGACATTATTTTTCATACTTAATACGAAAAAAAACCTCCAATAAATATATTTTATTTTTGTAAAAACAACATTCAAAAATATTAATAAATAAAAAAGTTATTAAAGTTTAAAATAGGTCAGCTTCTTTTGGCCCACCCTGTAGAACAGGATTGAAAAAATGAAAAAGCTCACAGAAAGAATAGGTAATATTTCTAATACACAGTATTTTAAAGGCATTCCATTAAAATCTCAAAAATCCATTAGTGAACCTGGATTCCAGGATTTTCGTGATTTCATGTCTAACAAACCACCAATAAAATAAGTAGTCTCTAAAAATGAAAAATTGTCCTGCCGTGAATTGACATTGCTCATTATACTAACCAAAAATATTTTCTTTCTACCCGGTTCCTGTCTGAAGTACACCAAGGCTTCCTGAGGGATTGTGATTCTGCTATCCTCTTTCTCATTTGGATCGAGGTGGTCAAACCTGCTGGGCTGGCAGTCCATGTCAAACCGAACAAATCCAGTTCTGAAGTCCACTGATACGGATAACCACTTCCACGCTGAAAATAAGAGGAAGAAAGATCATTAATGTCGAAGTATAGTATATTGCAAGGGTTGCCTGTAAAAGGTACGAGAGTGGCGTATTTCTAGAATATCTCCGTTCAGGGCGTTCACATCAGAAATAGATCTAGTGGCAGAAAGACATTCAACCTCATCTTCGAAACCCAGAGGAATTAACAAAAACATTTCGGGAAACGTCACTGGACGTTAAAACTCATAAAAAGCAACAGAAGGGTTCGTACATATATATATAAAGAGAATATGATCATGCGGAGAAAGTTATATAACAACAATTAGGAAAATAATGGGCAAAATCCGCAAAAAGGAGGAAAGTGGATTCGAGCAGAAAATAGGATAGGTAACCCGAGCGATACGTATTTCTGCTGGTTGGCTTCATCAGGCCAGAAATGAATGCACATATGAAACTACAAAAGTAGATACACATGCCCACACATCCGGATACGGGTGTAACCTGAGGAAACGAAGTTGGAGGGGAAAAAACGACACACGAAGTCCACAACAAGAGCCAACCTACACATTGTAGTATAAAATGGCTATACGACCTCGAATTTTCAAGGAGACGTCTAACCACCACCACGCGGCCGGTTATAGCCTCAGACTAAAAATATAAATAGACAAATAATTCCCTACAAAATATCGTCGTCAACATAACTGTATTTACGGTAAACAAATATATGCGACGCTGCCACTTCTCCATACTGAAAAATCTATTGAAAATGGAATGAGATATTGGTGTGCACTCCGCCGAAGGTGGACTTAAATAAGGTGTGGACGCTCCGGTCGATCAAACAACTGCTCCTAGGCAGTTGTCAACGTCATTTTAAACTTTAAAAATTTATTTTTTCTTTTCATATTTGTTTATACTCGCAAAAACGGTCACACAGGTGGCTGACACGCCATAAATTCAATTCAAAACGGATGCAGGTTCATGTTGGGTAATTCACAGCGAACATTACATATAATATTTTGCCCAGTCAGTTGTTTGACTGGACTTGTTCCATCTTGGACGAAACTTCTCTCATTCGAAAGTAGCACATTTCTACCGACTTTTTGCCGAACGTGGCAACGGTGTTCAACGGCAAGTGGTGGATGCGTACACAGAATTTACAAACATCTGATGTTTGTTGTTGTGCACAGGTTGTTTTAGCGGCAATTATAGCATTGTTATCATTGATAGACAATTTTCAAAGACAACGGGACGTCGGAAGTGCATTCTTTGTGGAGTTAGCAGTGAAAAAACTGAGGCAACCTTCCACAGGTGAGTTAGAGGTTAGAGGAGGACAAGGGCGTAGCGCATGGGGATGCGTTGTGATTTTTAGTATTAAGAAATAGACATTTTATAGTTATTGGTTGTTTTTACACTGTATGTGTGGTGATTTTCAAAAAATACTCTTCTGTTAGATACGTTTTTGATCTTTCAGGTTTCCTAGTGATAAGAAAAAACAAGAAGAATGGTGCATTATCCTCAATATTGACATAAATGATTTACCACTTCATGCCTTTATTTGCGCAAATCATTTTCACAAAAGTGATTTAATAGAAGGCAAAAGAACTCAACTAAAGCATTCAGCAGTTCCATCAGTAGAGCCTTTGAGGCAAACAGAGTAAGTCCTTAATTACATTTAGCTATTGGATGAAATGGAATATTTTGTTGCTATACTTTTACTTATCTATTTTAAAGTGATTCCAGTGATGAGGAGAATGAAATCAATCTTGCCCAGGAAATTGCCCTATAATCCAACTTAAGCTCCACAATAAATGTAGTCTCAAAATCTTCCTAAACAATATTTCATACAGACTATTGTACAATATGTAATCCTCGAAAGACCGAATCCTTAGGACATTGAGCATATTCTGTCAGATCGTTTGAACCAAATCTGTGTCTATGCTTGCCTAAATAAAACGAATGAGTTGAATTTATGATACAAACTTTTTAAATAGTTTAGGGAACTATTTAAGTCAAGATCTTTCTTAAGAAATGAATAGTTTTTTTGTGCCTTCAATATCAAGACAGAATATTTGAATTGATGCGTCAATTATTTATTCTTTTTCTGTTTGTTTATATATTTTTTTATATACAACTTTTGATCATGGTTACTATCATTTTCTTACTATTTTTTTTGTATTCATACTCTGGACAGGAAATTTTCTACTCAATTCTTATTATTTACATAATACTCTCTCTCTCTGTTGTTTATATACCTTTGTACTAGGTATTATGAAACAATAAACCTGATAATTAAGTTCCAATAATACATAGTCGTGCCATAAGTTCTGTCCCATGATAATCTCAGGATAAAAATGAAACAAGATAAGATATACTTATATGAAAGATATTATTTATTCGACAACATTTTTAGAATTCATAATCAAACAGTTTTATTCAAAATGTCCCCCCTTGGCCTTCACACACTGCTTCAATCTCGCGGGCCACTCATCTATCACTGCACGCACAGCTTCCAAAGGAATAGCTGCCGCTGATCGGATCAAATCCGCTTTCAATGACTCGATATTACGGTGGGCTTTGGAGCAGGCCAACTGCTCTAGCAGGTCCCACAACTTGTAGTCTAAAGGATTGAGGTCCGGACTCCCTGAGGGCCAATCTTCCGCAGCAATGAACTCTGGCACATTGCTTTCCAGCCAGCGCTGCGTACTCTTAGCCTTGTGAGCGGGGGCGGAATCCTGCTGGTAGACCCAGTGTTGGTTGGCAAACAATGTACCACTTAAAGGCTTGACGATAGGATCCAGTATGTCGCTCTGATAGTTTGCCGCTTTTGTTTTCACGCCCTGTTTACAGAAATGGAGCTGAGTGACCCCTTCGTAGGACACCCCCCACCAAACCATGACTGACGCAGGGTGGTGGCCTCTCTCAACTCTCGGAATGATCTCTGAAGCTTCCTGTGAACTCCTTGCATACACTTTGTCATTTTGTCGGTTGAATTTTTCTTCTATGGTGAAGATTTTCTCATCCGTGAACAAAATCTTTCGGAATCCCCCAGCTGCGTACCTCTCCAAGAGCTTCTTGGATCTTGTCGCCCTGATGTGTCGCAAGGTGGCCGTAAGTCGCTGGCCCGTACGTCTCCGGTAAGCCCCTAGCCCTAGGTCTTGTTTAATGATGCGCGACATCGTCCGGACAGGAATCTTCATTTCCCTGGATAGGATCTTCTGCTTCCGGAGTGGATTCCTTTGAATCCTGGCTTTTACGGCTTTGATGGCTGCTGGAGTCCTTACTTGACGAGGTCTTCCGCTTCTTGGCCTGTCATCAACAGAGGACGTCTCATTGTACCGCTGAATGGTCCTAGACACAAATTTACGCGATATTTGAAGGCCGCGTAAGAGTTCAAAAATCTGACTAGCACTGTGATTACACTTATGTAAAGCTATCACTGCAATACGGTTCTCTGCCTTGCCCCACTCCATCGTTATGCTTCGAGAGATCAATACAAACTGAGGTATATGTAATTACCCGAAAAGCCCTTAATCAACTGACACCACAATGTAAACAATCGGACAAGTATTAACAGGTCTACACTTGTTTGAAAACGAGGGACAGAACTTATGGCATGACTACGTAAAACCTTGTTTACTTCTCTGTGTTTATTCTTTTCACTGCCATGGAAGGTGATACTGGGTGTATTAACCAGAACACCATTACAAAAAAAGCACCTACGCCACTGGTGGAATCAGCTGTGGTCTGCACATACACAGCTTATTGTTTGTATTTGTTCTGAATTGGGTTTGTTTGTCTTCATGCATTACAGTGCCGTAAGAATGGTATGTCTATTTATATCTTTAGTCTGAGGTTATAGCCACTTGCTGTGGTACTTCAAGCCCAAAGGATCTACAAAGAGAATATGATCATGCGAAGAAAGGTATATAACAACAATTATTAAAATAATGGGCAAAATCCTTTTTGCGGATCGCTCGGGTTACCTATCCTATTTTCTGCTCGAATCCACTTTCCTCCTTTTTGCGGATTTTGCCCATTATTTTCCTAATTGTTGTTATATATATATATATATATATATATATATATATATATATATATATATATGTCGGCGTCAAACGCTGAACTACAGTAACTACAAAGATGTACAGTGGAATCCACTTATAATGAACTTGCTTATAATAGAAACCCGTATATAATGGACACAATTTAAGGTCCTATAAATAATTGCATGTAAAATTCTCGGATATTATCGACTCGCTTAAAATAGACCTTCGCTTATAGCGGACTATTTTAAACCATTATTATGCGAGCTATTTTGGTAGTTCCCCGAAGCAGATTTAGCTGAGCAATCGATTACGGCGGTTTGGCTTCGCAGTTTGCATTCAAACTTGGCCACCAGTGTTATACTGAATTTATTAGAGTTATAAACATGTAGAAAAGTGCGAAACGTGCATTCACTTTACACGAAAAGTTCACAATAATTAGTGAGCTTGAGTAGGGTTCGTCTTAAGCAAATATATATGCTCGTATGGCTATAAAAAATCCACTGTGTCAAATATTTGGAAAAACCGTGTCAAAATTAAAAATGACTGGAGATCAAATAGTCAAAAAAAATGCATCCCCAAGTCGATGATATGCTGTTTAAATGGTTTCAACAAAAGCGTGCTAATAATTTTACAATAAGTAGACCTATGCTACAAATAAGGTTCAAGAATTTGGGAAATTGATTGGAGATTACTTCAAATGTAGTTCCGGTTGGCTAGACAGGTTTAAGAAAAGAGATAATATTGTTTTTGTTTCAGTTGACAAGAACGTTACCAATTGACTGGTTTTCTCAAGTTTGGCCCGTAATATCCAGTGATTATTCAGATGATAACATATTCAATGCAGGCAGATGAAACCGGGATATTTTATAGAATGCTACCAGATAAAACTCATAAATTAAAAGGTGAAACTTGCAATGGAGGAAAACTATCAAAAGAGCGGATAACTGTTATGATTTGTGCTTATGCTTCTGGTACTGAAAAACGGAAACTATTGATAATAGATAAGTGAATGAATATAAATTCGTTCTAATTTTTTTGATATTCAATGGCTGTGCTGCAAAGGATTTATGACCTTTTTTTATTTCTTGTAAATTTAAGAATCCCAGGTGTTTCAAAAATGTTAAAACAATTCCTGCCGATTATGTTGGAAATAATAAAGCTTAGATGACTTCATCAATTTTTGAAGAATATTTAAAAGAGTGGGGCGCTGAACCGTTACCACCGAAAGTACAAGGCCTGACAGCAGTAGAACGGTCGGCCGGCCGACAGCACGGCGTGCCGTACATCAGAATAATATATGAATGCAGCATATTTAATATACTCTACATGATGTAAATAACGGATAATTCAGAAAAGTGTTTTTGGTATATGAAGGCAACTTGGTGGAAAATATTAAAGTAGTTATTAACTATTTTCACCCTGATTTTCACTGATATTTCATCCAACATTACGTGTACATTAGAGTAATAAGTTGATGTTATAAAAGCTTGCTAAAAATGATAAATTCTTCAATGAATAACCCCATGTTAGTCACAACATATCAACAAAATTTCACAGGAATATGTAGACAATTTACTATTATTATAGGCATAATATAATGGTACTTGAAAATTATCTAAAAAATGTAGTGCTTGTCGAACAGTTGTGTCCAGCACGAACCAACGAGGAGGTCTGAGGTAAGCTCTTGTTAGGAAAAGAATAAGGAAGATGAAGAGCAAAAAGTGTAGGATAAATGATAACAAAAACAGATAAGATCAAAGTAAAATAAACAACAGAAAAAACATAACAAAGATTAATAAAAACTCTTAGAACAAACGATATACAGCACAAAATAATAACAAAAATTAGAAAACAGAAAACAAGTATCAAAAATAACACAAATTAGAATAACGAAAATTAAAGTACTAAATTCTGAATATGTACAAATAAACATTTATCCACAGCCATGTAAATGTTGATGCATCATGTGAATGTAGTCAATTTACGTTTCTTTGTTTTATTCGCGCTTGCAAGCTGTCGTTCCTTTTGGCACAATAATTTTTCAAAAATGTACTGACTGTGCTAACAGTTAGTTTTATAACATAATCTGGTTAATGGGCTGTGCAACGCGAAAATAAAGTGTCGTGATTATTATCACTCAGATTGTTAATTATCAACTGACAATATTAATAACTGGATCCTTTGGGAATTTTAAGCCACCTCTACTGAAATTCTGTATAATGTTGTGCTTGTCTTCTATGTCAATATCATCTGTGTATGTCGAATTTTCCTTACAATGATCGCAGTGATTTTTCTTTAATAAGGCATAACAACAGTAACGAGCTAAGTAGGTGAAGACAAGGATTTAATCCTTTATTCTATCAATATCAGACTGTAAATTTTCAATTTTCCGGAAAAAGTGGTAATCACTAACATTGTGTGGAATTTCATCTATTTCTAAATCATCATTTTCTCGGAATTTATTTATTTGTATATCACCATAGCGATACTTCAATTACATCAGGCTTTGAGTTCGTAACTTTTTCTCAGATTCATATAACTGACGAATTGATATATTATATTGACCCCCTGCCAGTTGACGATACTTACCAAATCTATTTTCCAATGAGTCAGTTTGAAATTTACCTAACAATATATAATTACTGTGCAGTTCAGATTTACAGTACCTTACTAATTCCAATAAGCCATATACTGTATGATGTAGTGCAGTGTAAGTCTGACTAGTTAGTCTTTTTGAAAATTTTGCTGGATCATTCCACTCTTCTTTTTGCAAGAATGTCAGCTTACTGTCATCACCTTGTCCATCACTGTTGGAGCAAACAATAGGCTCTGCGTAAAGGTCATTTAACCGCTTTCTTTTCAATGGACTTTTTACATTGACAATTCTCCACCACTTCCATATAATATCAATGAATGTCAAAAATTACAGAGTGAGATATGATGGGTGCTGGTTTATATTCTAACTTAAATAAAGTAGCTTTATCCTGAACAATTTTATGCCACCCATATGGACACTGCCATGAACTGAAAACTGTGAGAAAATCTGAATAATTTTGAAAACTTGTTGATTTTTGATAGGAGGACAATTTGCAAAGATACTTGGAATTACATCTGCCTTTAATTTTCGATACTTAAGCAGTACAGTAATAGTCCTACCTATCTTTTCGTCTTGGAAGATGGATTCCCAAGTGATGCTGTCCTCAGCAAAGTGCAAATTGCATACTCGGGTGTTTTTTGTAACCACTAAATCACTACGAGGGATTGCATTGAGCCATCTTTTACGACAGTTTTCATTCAATGGAAATGAAAATACGTGTACCTACGGACCCTTCCCGTAATTACCGGCACAATTAGGAACGCATCACTTGTAAGGCATTTTGAAAACTTAGCTAAACAATCGCGAGACACAAAAATAAGTTTAAAACATCAATAATTTTCGGATTACATAGCATAGAAAGATACATAATACAGGCTCAGAATATGAGGTTAGTTGGCTGTTGGATGTTAGCGGTGTTACCAAGGTTGCCACATATTCCAATTTTGAATGGAATATTAGACTTCACAAGTGACAGATTGAACGTAATATCGAAAATGTATTCTTGACATACTGAGGCAGTTCAGAAAGAATAATCACATCATCACTGAAGCTGCACAGGCCCCGAGTACATCTTGCAAATTCGCCCACAGAGAGGTACAACTAATTAGTAGAGATTTCGATACTGCTATATCAAATCTAGATATGACAACACCGCAGAGAAATGGTGGCCGGGCATCGCGAAACTCCAAAAGAACATGCATAGGCCTACTTTGCGTGACGTCACAGGCTTTTCAGAACTCAGTTGTTTGGCCTTGTACTTTCGGAGGTAACGGCTGAACTTGTTAAGAAAAATCGTAAAATTTTGCTCTTGGTCGATAACTGCCCCGCTCATCCAAATATAATTAATAACATCAACCCTCAATTTTTTCCACCCAATGTGACATCAGTTCTGCAACCAATGGATCAGGCTGTCATTTGGAGTCTTAAACAAATGTATCGGAAACATATGTTGATGAAAATTATGGAGCTTCAAGAAGTTGTCAACATTGCCAAAGCTGTCACCATTTTAGATGCTATAAATCGCTTACTATTCCATGGGAATTGGTTACTCCAGAAACGATTCATAATTGTTTTATATATATGTTTAATATAGACAAATTTAATGGATATGTAAATGTAGACAATAGTTTAATAGCAACAGAGGGATTCTCAAACTCCAATTTGGTTAATCCGTTGATAACGAACAGAAAGACGAACTAGAAAACAACGATGAAGAAGAGCTTCCAGTGACAACACTATGGAGGCATTAGAATGCGTGAAAAAGTTGCAACGTTATTTTCAGCAAGAAGAAGACAGTACAGACACACTTACCAAATTAAATAAAATTCAACTTGCTGTTCTAAATAATTATACAAAAAACAATCTGTTCAAATGAAAATTACTAGATTTTTAACCGAAAAATTTACGGTTTTTACACATACCTGTAATATGTGTATCAGATTCTGAAAAGATGCAAATTTCAAGTAACGTGTAACTTTTTTGTATGTATCTTTATTCATGTAATACATGTTAAACAAATACATTTTAAGCTTTTAATATGTTATTTCTGCTGCTTTTCTCATAAAAACTGTTTCTTTTAAGATGGTCATCCGCCTATAATAGACTATTTGTCTCATTATAAGTGGGTTGCACTGTACAGCA